TCGCCCCCCAGGAGGGGGTGGCCACACCGCAATACCTTCTCCTCCATTCTTCTCTTGGGATTTTGGGCACACATGCACACGTGCCCAGCATAAGTTTTAAACCACCGGGTCTGGGACTCGAACTGCAGTTGACTAAATGGGACTCCAGCAATGTAACCATTACGCCATCTGCTGGCCCCTTTCTAGGAATTTTCTAAGCTTTCTTTTCTTTCTGCCTACAAAATGTATGCAACTAATAGCTAAAAGCAGTCCTTCTCTCAATCCCGCCCTCCAACCCCTTAAGCTTTCCCTTTCTCTTGATCTCATTATTACCAAACTTCTTTAAAAATGAGCCAATGTGGGGGGCAGCAGCAGGTGGTGTGGTAATTAAAGGAGCTGAACTCCCACACGGCCAACCACAGTTTGAGTCCCAGACTTGGCAGCTTGCTTTCTCACTTTTTCTCTCTCTCTCTTTGGTCAAATTGAAAAAGAATGATAATAAATAAATAAATAAAAATTTTAAAGAGGTTTTTTGCTATAGGGTGCGTGTGCTTGCCAGAAAGACAGAGAGAGACAGAGAGACAGAAAGTGAGAAATCACCCCCTGGGGGGATGGCTACACCACAATCCCTTCTCCTCCATTCTCCTCTCAGGATCTTGGGCACGCACATGTGCCCGGTGTGAGTTTAAGCCACAGGGTCCAGGACTTGAACTATGATCAACTACATGGGAATCCAGTGACATAGCCATTACACCATCTGCTGGTCCCAGATAATTAAAAAAATAATAATAATTGTCAACAGGGACCAGACGGTGGTGTGGTGGTTAAGACACTGGACTCCCACATGGCTATCATGGTTTGAGTCCCAGACCCAACCGCTAGAAAAATCACCAGGCATGGGGCCAGTAGGTGGCATGGTGGCTAAGGGCACTGGACTCCCACATGGCTGACCGCAGTTTGAGTCCCACACCTGGTCGCTTACTTTCTCACTTTCCTTCTCTCTCTCTCTCTCTCTCTCATCACTCTGTGGTCAAATTAAAATAAGAAAGAAAGAAAAAAAATTAAATTAAATTACTCTTAAAAAAAAAAAGAAAGAAAGAAAGAAAGAGGGACCAGCAGTTAGCATATGGCTATGTTGCTGGACTCCCATGTAGCCAGCCGCAGTTCAAGTCTGGACCCAGTGGCTTAAACTCATGCCAGGTGCGTGTGCGTGCGTGCCCAAGATCCCAAGAGGAGAATGGAGGAGAAGGAATGAAGGGATTGTGGCGTGGCCATCCCCCCTGGGGGGTGATTTCTCGTTTTCTGTCTCTCTGGCGAGCACACGTGCCCTATAGCAAAAACCTCTCCCCCCAAAAAAAAGAAGAAAGAAAGAAGAAAGAAAGAAAAGGGACCAGCAGTTGGCTTAATGGCTATGTCACTAGACTCCCAAGTAGTGGACTGTGGTTTGAGTCCTGGACCCGGTAGCTTGAACTCACTCCGGGCACGTGTGGATGCATGTCCAAGATCCCAAGAGGAGAATGGAGGAGAAGGGATTGCGGTGTGGTCATCCCCCCTGGGGGGTGATTTCTCTCTCTCTGTCTCTCTCTCTCTTTCTGGTGAGCACATGTGCCCTATAGCAAAAACCTATCCAAAAAAAAAAAAGAAAGATAGAAAGAAAGAAAGAAAAAAAAAAGAAAAGAAAATTAGTGGGCATGTGTGTATGCCTGCCCAAAATCTTGGAGGAGAATGGAGGAGAAGGGATTGCAGCATGGCCATCCCCCTAGGAGGTGATTTTTCACTTTCTATGTCTCTGGTTAGAGTATGCAACATATGGGAAAAAAAAAAAAAAAAAGAATGTCCTTCCCAGTCCAGCCGGATGAGGTAGTAATTAAGGCAGCTGGATCCCACATAGCTAATTTCCTAATTCAAGTCCTAGACCTTACAGTTTGAAAAACATGCCTGGCATTTGTGCCCAAAATCCCGAGAAGAGAATGGGGAGAAGGGATTGTGGCATTGCCATGTCCCTTGAGGGGTGCTTTCTCACTTTCTCCAGTGAGCACATATGCCCAATGGAAAATGTAAACAACAACACAATGTTTTTTTATAAAAAGAATTCTCTCTTAGGACCTGCAGATGGCACAACGGTTACATTGCTGGACTCCCACAAGGCCAACCACAGTTCGAGTCCTGGACCCAGAGGTTTGAAACTCACACTGGGTGCGTGTGTGTGTGTGTGTGTGTGTGCCTGAGATTCAGAGAGGAGAATGGAGGAGAAAGGGTTTCAGTGTGGTCATCCCTCTGGGGGGTGAATTCTCACTTTCTGTCTCTCTGTCTCTCTTCTGTCTCTTTGGTGAGAGCATGCACTTATAGCAAAAATGTATCTAAAAAAGAAAAAAACATGGGGACCAGCAAATGGTGTAGCAGTTATGTTGCTGGACTCCCATGTAGTCTACCATGGTTCAAGTCCCAGGCCTGGCAGCTTAAAACTCATGCAGGGCATGTGGGTGGAAGTGCCCAAGGTCCTGAGAGGAGAATGGAAGAGAAGGGATTATGGCATGGCCATCCCCCTGGGGGGTGATTTCTCACTTTCTGTCTCTCTGGTGAGCACATGTGCCCTACAGCAAAAATTTCCCTAAAAAAATGCCCTTTCCTCAGCTAAAAATTTATTAAAGCATCTCACTCATTCCTACTGAGCTAGTTATTTCACACTCTTGATTCCACTGTCTATGGGAAAAGTCTGAACTTTTGTTCTTTTAAAGTTTCTGCCATCAGGTGCGTGCACTGGAGAGAGACAGAGACAGTGAGAGGGAAAGTGAGAAATCACTCCCCGGGGGATTGCATTGCTGCGATCCCTTCTCTTCCTTTCTCTTCCTGGGATTTTGAGTATGTACACATGCCCAGCATGATTTTCAAGCCACCAGGTCCAGGACTTGAACTGCAATTGGCCATGTGGGAGTCTAGTGCCTTAACCACTATGCCACTTGCTGGCCCCCAAGTGTGAACTCCTGAGCAACTTTTTCTTTTCCTTTTGGAACTCCTTTTAAACTTGCCATGATCTGGTCTTTCCCCTTCTTCACTTCTCTCAAACACCCTATACTCCAAGCAGAGTAAATCACCACTCAGAGCAGTGTTGTGTTTATTCTCATGGTGCCCCCTCATCTGGCAAGCAGCTCTTCCCCATCACTGGCTGCTCAATAGCTGAGTCTGTTTAAGTCTTCCAAGTCTACCTCTTCAGCTCTAACAGAATGAATCTACGCTTTATGCTTTACTCTCATAATTCTTTAAACTTTTTTTTTGTTTGTCTTTTTTTAGTTTGTAGTTTGCTATAGGCTGTGTGTGCAAGAGGGAAAGTGAGAAACCAACCCCCAGGAAGAGAGCCGTGACACAATTTCTTCTCCTTCATTCTCCTCTCAGGATTTTCAGGCACACACACACTGTGCTTGGTACATTTTTCAGGCCACCAGGTATGGGACTCAAACTGCACTGTTGGCTATGTGGGATCCGGCTGCCTTAACCTCTGTACCACCTTCTGTTTCTTTTTGTTTGTTTCTGCTATAGAGTCCCAGAGAGAGATAGAAAGGGGAGGAAAGTGAGAAGTCACACACACACACACCCCCAGGACAGATGGCCCTGCAATCCCTTCTCCTTTGGTCTCCTCAGGAATGTGAGTATGCACGCACACACACCTGATGTGACCTTCAAGCCACTGGGTCTGGGACTCAAACCACGATCAGTCATGTGGGAGTCCAGCGCCTTAACCTCCATGCCACCTGCTGGTACTAAACCATTAAAGTAATGGTAGGACAGGTGGTTGCAAAGCAGTAATTCAACTGGACTCATAGAGAAAAGGTCCTGGGTTCATATCCCGGACTTCCTTGAGCACTCCCAGAACACACTCATGTGCCATGATCTGGGCTGACTGAGGCTGAAGGTGGGCCTTGTTGTAAAGGGCTGGTGGAGTCTTCTTTCTCTCTTTCTCACGCTCCCTGAGAAATAGACATCAATAAAAAAGTAAACGGCATTGTTTGACTTGTATTATAGTTGTCTGTGCTTTGGCTCGTCTCCTGGTCAGGCGCTAAGAATCTTGATGCTAAATATTTTTGCCTCATTTAAGAACTGTGGAGGCCAGCAGGTGGCATGGTGGTTAAGGCACTGGACTCCCACATGGCCAACTGTAGTTTGAGTCCCAGACTTGGTGGCTTGTTTTCTCACTTTCCTTTTTTTTCTCTCTCTCTGGCCCTCTCTGATGACCACACATGGCCAATACAATTTTTTTTTAAAAAAGGAATAATAATAATAAATAGATAAAATTTAATAATAATTTATAAAGGATGCACAGATGACATAATGGTTTTGTCGCTGGACTCCTACATAGTCAACTGAGGTTCAAGACCCAGACTCAACAGGTTAAAACTCACACTGGATGTGTGTGCGTGCACGCCCAAAATCCCAAGAGGAGAATGGAGAAGGGATTGAGGCATGGCCATCCCCCTGGGGGGGGATTTCTCACTTTCTGTCTCTGTCTCTCTGGTGAGTGCACGTGCTCTATAGCAAAAATCTCTCTCTCTAAAAAACAAAGAAAAAAACCCAAAACTGTGACTGCCCCTGGGTTTTGGTTGCCTTCAGAGGCAGTTCCTCTGGCGTTGGGTCCTATGCTGACACCTTCTGGCCGGGCTGGGGTCGGTCGCCCTTTGTTCAGCAGCACTGGCCCCAGCACCTACCTCCGTATCAGGGACTGAGGCCGCCCTTACCTGCCAGGCCCTGGAAGAGTATGCGTGTGCTAACGTTGCCCCCGGCACCACCCTCCAGTCCTCAGTACTGTCTCTCCGGACTCCCACTCCAGCGATTCAGACTTTACATCCTCTCCAGGACCACCGAAATACGAGGATCTCTAAGAACTGAGCAACAGGGAAAGAAATCAGCAAACACCCTGGGAGAGGGGGATGTCCTCCTTCCTCCACCTCAGAGAACCAAGGCTGTTTCTCACAGTCTAGTCCTTCTGTCTATTTCCAGGCTGCTCTTGGGCCATAGGCCTTCTTGTGACAGTGGTGATAAACCGGAGGTTGAGCAGAGAGTAGGTAGGCGGGGCTTGGGGTGGGGCCAGGCCAAAGGACCTCTCACTTAGGAGCGTCTCCATTCTGTCCCCTCTCCGGGAACATCCAAGGCAAGACTGGCACCCGGAACACTACAGGTGAGGAACTGGCGATGACAGGGGGTGGGCTTTAGGGGCGAGGATGGCAGAAGAGTCCCCAGCTCTTTCAGCCTTGGCTTTCTGTGTTGTGAATCTCACTTGTGGAATTCTTGGGTCCCCGGTGGAGAGGAGCTTGCTTCTGCCCTGGAGCAAAGCAGCCTCTGAAAGCGACCTGGTTTGGGATGGAGATGGCCGTGGGTACAGGACAGGTACCAAGAGATGCAGCATCTTAGGCAACATGGAAGTAGACAGGTAAGGGCCAGAGGGAGGCAAGGAAATCAGAAGGGGGCTTCATCTGAGAGAAGAAGGGAGCCCGGGCACGGGGAGGAGGAGAGCACGGTGCACCAAAGTCAAGATGGCAATGGAGAGAGAGCTGGGTAACAGGAAGGCCAAGGAGGAAGGAAAACTCGCATGGAGCAATCTCCTCTTCCGGCTGGGGAGCATGGTCCAGAAAGCCCGGGGTCAGTGGGAGCCAAGACTGGTTTCAGGCCCCACTGGAATGATCGGCTGGAGCAGAAATCCCCCGTTACCTATCTCCCCTGCGTCTGCAGTCTCCCGTTTGGGTTTGGAGAGGGCGAGGCTGCTCCTCACTGCGGTCAGAGCCACATCCTGCAGAGCTGGGGAGGGGGAAGTAAGAAGCAAAACAACCACAGGCGAAGACCACGGGGAGAGGGCATTGGATACAGGCTGAGCGCCAGCAGGAGGGTCCTGGTTCAGCCGACAGAAGACCAGGCCCTTGGTGGGGCTGGACCTTGACACGTTCCATTCTCCTGCTTGCGCCTCAGTGAGGGCAATCCAAGGAGGGCGGCTTTCGATGACCTGGTTTGACGTCCATTCTTATCGTTTACTAGCGACTTCAGCCACGTTGCTAAATGTCCCCAGCTTCCGTTTTCTTGTTGTATAATGGGGATACCTATCCTACAGAGGGTTGGGAAGACGGAGATGATTCGAATAAAGTGCTTGGCACGTAGTAGGCTCTCTGTAAGTGTTAGTTCTTCTTATCAGGACTCCTGGGGCCTCTGTGTTTTTCACTTCTTTAAAAGCAATTTGGGACTGGCCACTGCGGTGCAGCGGTAACGCCGTGCCCTGCAAACCCAGAGGCCACATGGCTGAAGTAGGTTGTGTCTCTGGGTCAGCCTGAAAACATGCTGGGTGGTGGCTGTGGGAGAACTGGGAGAGCGAATGGCTGGCAGTAGGACAAGACCCTGCCAAGGGTAGTTCTCTCTGTCGCTCTCGTGTGTGCACACGTGCTCTCATAAAGAAAAAATTAAAGGAAATGCAGTGCACAGGCCAACGTGAGTCGGGGAGGCAGGAAAATAACATGAACCTGTGTACTCGGCTCTCAACCGAGGGAGCAGTACTGTGTGGCATGTAGGCAGTGCCCCACGGGCAGGGACACTCATTCACAGGTCAGCCGGATCTCACTGCGGCCGGGCAGCCCACTTCCCTGCAGCCCCGCGTGGGGGGCCAGCCCCTGTGTGCCACAGGCCTGCAGCCCGAGCTGGCGCCTCCTCTGGGCTGCTTCGGAGACCAAGGTTTCCTACAGCCCTAAAGGGCAGAAGCCGGGCGGGAGGGACAGTGGCAGAGACCACAAGGAGAACGAGACAGAAGCCAAGGCAGCGGCAGAAAGGGAAAAGCATTTCTCTGTGTTTCTAAGGAAGCCTGTGGCCTTGCTTCTAGTGACGGAGCAGAGCCCACCCCCGGGAGCCATGGAGTCCTTCAGCTCGAAGAGTCTGGCCCTGCAGGCAGAGAAGAAGCTCCTGAGTAAGATGGCGGGGCGCTCGGTGGCGCATCTCTTCATTGACGAGACGAGCAGCGAGGTGCTGGACGAGCTCTACCGCGTGTCCAAAGAGTACACGCACAGCCGGCCCCAGGCCCAGCGGGTCATCAAGGACCTGGTGAAGGTGGCCGTCAAGGTGGCCGTGCTGCACCGCAGCGGCTGCTTCGGCCCCGGGGAGCTGGCCCTGGCCGCCCGCTTCCGCCAGAAGCTGCGGCAGGGCGCCATGACGGCGCTGAGCTTCGGCGAGGTGGACTTCACCTTCGAGGCGGCCGTGCTGGCCGGGCTGCTGACCGAGTGCCGGGACGTGCTGCTGGAGCTGGTGGCGCAGCACCTCACGCCCAAGTCGCACGGCCGCATCCGCCATGTGTTCGACCACTTCTCGGACCCGGGCCTGCTCACGGCCCTGTACGGGCCCGACTTCACCCAGCACCGGGACAAGATCTGCGACGGGCTCCGCAAGCTGCTGGATGAGGGGAAGCTCTGAGCCCGGAAGCCGGCACGGTCCACGGTGGCTGGCGCAAGGACCAGGACTGCTCGCCCGCACCAGCTTTCCCGACCTCAGGCTTCCTTCTCCCTGAGAGCGCCTCGCCGGGGCCACCCACGCCCACACTGCCGGGGTGGGGGAGCCGGGAGCCCCTCTCCCCCTCCAGCCCGGACAGGAAACAGCTGCCTGAAAGGCGAAGTGAAACCGGGATCGCTATTTCTCCCGTAAGGGACATGTGAAACAGGGAAGCCCCTGCCTGTGAGCCAGGGCACGCGGACGCTGCCCACATAACCCCCGGAGGACACTAAAGGAGAAAGGGAGAAGGTGGCCCTGAGGGGCATCCTGGACTCCCGCTCCAGGCAGCAGGCGACAGACCCCAGGGGCGGGACCGGAGTGCAGGCAGAGGGCCAGGGCCGGGGGGAGTGCGGCAGGGGAAATAAAACCACTCAAACAGGCCCAGGGCTCATGTTTAATCTCTCCAGCTTCTGACAGCAGGACCCGCACGGAGGAAAGGCGGTAGAAGAGCAGCACTCCACTCGCCTCTCACCACCTCCACAGGACACTGAGCCAGGTTCCAGCATCAGTGAGGTTCCCTTGCCTACTTCTTGTGTTTAAGAAACAACGACAAACTGTACCACAGATCAGTGCTACAAATTGCAAATTGCAAATAAATACACAGTGAGCAGCAAGGCCCAGCTAGACAGGCTCTGAGGGTGGGGGGATGCACAGAGCTCACTCCGGCAACTGTCCTCAAACCCCCAGGCGGTCCTCCTGTCCTTAGCCCCACCAAGAAGGGTGAACCCATAGGATGGAGAGTTCAGGTCCTTACATTGCTTTTTCTCAGAGCAAGAGTTGTGAAAAAGTTATAGGGAACTGGTTAGTCAAGACTGAGCCCGATCCTTTACTTGAGTTTGGGGAAAGGGCCGGCAGTCTGCCATTCTCTGTAGCGGGGCTCGATCTCTGACTGCCCATCCTCAGTGACATGCTTGGCTAAGGAGCCAGGGGTTGGAGAAGGAGCAGCCCCTGGTGCACTATTCCTGGGTTCGCCTCACCCCAGGGCTCTAGAAATCCCATTTTTCTGCAAAGAGTGGGAAGGAACAGGATACAGCAAATAAATATGACTTCAATATAGCACCAAATAAATTAGTAACAGAGTCTGAGATGAGGAGGAAGTTCAGGGGGAGGCTCCGCTTCCCTGTCCTAAGGCCAGGGAGTGGTAATAGGAGTAAGAAAGGCAGCAGGGGGTAGAAAAAGATCCTTTTGAATCTAAAGAACAACTTTAGATTCAGCTCAACAACTGTGAAAGCGTCTAGTCCCCATATTCCCTACTCTTGACAATAAGACTGCTCCGGCCAAGGACTTCTTGAAGGACAAGGAGGCTGGGCAGATGGTAGGAGTGGAGGGAGGCAGACTTGAGGGAGAACCCATGTTCTTGAGCCTCACCTCAGGCTCCTCCCCCTCAAACTGTTCCACAATATCTTGCTTCTTTTAATCAGTTCTGAGTCATCAGAGTTTGAAGATTTCATCCTCCTGGTCCCGTAGTGTCCGGGTGCGCGAGGTCCGGGTCAGCGGCACGGGACCTAGGACGGCTCGTTGTTGCATCCGAGGGGAGCTCAGGTGAAGACCTGCATCTTCCCCGGGTACCCTGCAGGTGAGGAAAGGCAGGAAAGAGTGACAGATCAAGGAAGAACCTGAGAACAAGACACGTAACAGGTGCCTGGGAAGCTATCCTCATCTCCTAATATATGAGCTGGCTGCTCTAAGGTAGAGTCCCAGGGCCCTCTGGGTAACTCCTACCCTGAATACTCCTGGAGGATCAGCAGAGCAGTAGAACAGGCACCTGCTTCACTCCAATGAGAGCAGCCTCTACCCGCCCCTGCAGCTCACTGTCCTGGAATCGCCTGGAATCCCCCTGGGTTCCCTGGGGCAAAGATACCTTCCTTCTACTGACCCTGTGCTTGCTTACTTGTGTCTGTGGTCAGGTAAGACCGGAAGGATGGAGGGGTCTATGGAGAAACTTTCTCTTTTTTTGGAAGAGATTTTTGTTATAGGGCGCATGCGCTCACTGGAGAAACAGAGAGACAGAAAGCAAGAAATCACCCCCCGGGGGGATGGCCACACCGCAATCCCTTCTCCATTCTCCTCTCAGGATCTAGGGCATGCACGCACATGCGCCCAGCATGAGTTTTAAGTCGCCAGGTCCGGGACTTTGAAGCATGATGGACTATGTGGGAGTCTAACAATGTAACCATTATTTCATCTGCTGGTTCCTTGAGGAACTCTCAAGGAACCATTCAAGACTTACCCGCTGTCCCCTTTTTTCAGCTTCTGGGCAGCAGCCTTCTTTGACAGGCTGATCTGGGAATCAAGCTTCTTAAGGAAATCAGAGGCAGAGAGGTCGTGGACTGGTGTGGGGGGTGCCTGGCCAGATGTGGGGAGGGCTTCACCATTGGCATGTCCAGAACCTGTCTCTTGTTTCTTCCTCTCAGCTGAGTGAGGCCACACTTCATCCTTACTTGGCTGTACCTCTTCCTCTCCATCTTTCTCTTCCTCAGAATCCAAGCCATTGAACAGGTCTCTGGGCTCTGTCAGGATGGGGATGTAGAGGGTTTTCTTCAGGAAGATGGAGTCATTAGTATAAAGGCGGTTTGCACGCTTAATCTGTTCCATCTTTAAGAAAAAAGTCAACAAAATTAATGACAGTTACAATAACCTTACAGAGCATATTTTTCTTTCTTTTTTTGGAGAGGCTTTTGCTATAGGGCACATGCACTTGCCAGAAAGACAGAGAGAGACAGAGAGATAGAAAGCGAGAAATCACCCCCCAGGGGGAATGGCCACGCCACAATCCCTTCTCCTCCATTCTCCTCTCGGGATCTTGGGCACACACGCACATGTGCCTGGCATGAGTTTAAGCCATCAGATCTGGAACTTGAACCACGGTCGACTACATGGGAGTCCACCAACATAGACATGATGCTAACTGCTGGTCCCACAGAGCATATTGAGCTATTTTTTTAAAGAATTATTTTACTTAACTTTATTTATTTATTTTAATGTGACCATAGAGGAACAGAGAGAGAGAGAGAGAAAGAGAAAGTGAGAAATCTAGCCACCAGGTCTGGGGCTCAAACTGTGCTCAGCCATGTGAGAGTCCAGTGCCCTCAACCACCACGCCACCTGCCGGCCTCCCTCTTGAGCTTTTTAAAGTGATCATACAGTCTTACCTGACTCCACATCAACCAAACTAACGTACAAAGGGCTGGTATTATTCCTACAGTATACATCAGTCGTTTTCTTATTTCTGTTCTTAAGACCCCCTTTTTTAAAAACAATTTTGCTGAGGCTGGCAGGTAGCATGCTGGTTAAGGGGCTGGACTCCCACATGGTTGACTGTGGTTCAAGTCCCAGACCTGGTGGCTTGCTTTCTCACTTTCCCTCTGTTTCTCTCTGGTCAAGTTAAAAAAAATAATGATGGGGGCCAGCAGGTGGTACGCTGGTTAAGGCATTGAAATTCCCACATGGCTGACCATGGTTTGAATCCCGGACCTGGCAGCTTGTTCCCTCATCCTCTCTTTCTCTCTGCCTGTCTTTCTCTGGCAAAAACTCATATGAAATAATAATAATGATAAGTAAACAAAATAAATAGTTCTTTTAAAAATAATAATAATGACAATGATGAATAAAATGAAATAATTAAAAAAAATTTTTTCTATAGGGAATGTGTGCTCATCAAGGAGAGAAAGAAAGAGGAAGGAAAAGTAAGAAATCACTCCCCCCAGGGGGTTGTCCATGCCACAATCCCTTCTCCATTCCCCTCTTGGGATTTTGGGCATACACATGTATGCACCCTGCATGTGACTCAAGCTGCTGGGACTGGGATTAGAATCACATATTGGCTCTGTGAGGCCTGGCTTCCTTAACCATTAGGTTCCAGGGCCTGCCCATTTCCTTTATCTTTAACAGCGGGTCTCAAAGTGAGGTCCAAAGACTCCAGGAATCCCTGAGATTCTTCAGGGGTCCACCAGGTCAAAACTATTCATAGTAATCATTTTTTTATTTTTTAACTATAGGGCACATACACTCACCAGTTAGGATGGAGAAATGGAGACAGGATTGTGGTGTGGCCACACTCTACTCGGGGGGTGTGCTTTCTCCCTCTCCCTTTCTGAGAGCATATGTGCCCGCTGAAGAAATTCTTTAAAAATAAATTTTAAAAAAGAGGAAGGAACTGAGGCTCTGAGAGGTTCAGCTACTTGCCTAAGATATTATCAACTGAATTGTTGAAAAACTCATGATGTATTTTTGCACAGAAAAACATAGAAAAAGGGCCAGCAGGTGGTGTGGTGGTTTAGGGCACTGGACTCCCACATGGCTGATCACGGTTCAAGTCCTGGACCTGGTGGCTTGCCTTCTCACTCTCTTTCTCTCTCTCTCACACACACTCTCTCTCTCTCTCTCACACACACACACACACATACACGCACACACACTCTGTCCCTCTCTGGTCAAATTAAAATAAATAAGGGGCTGGCAGGTGGCATGGTGGTTGAGGGCACTGAACTCCCACATGGCCGACCACAGTTCAAGTCTCTGACCTGGTAGCTTGCCTTCTCACTTTCCCTCTCTTTCATTCTGTCCCTCTCTGGTCAAATTAAAATATATAAATAAAGTTAAATACTTCTTTAAAAAAAAAAAGAAAGAAAGAAAAAAATACATCATGACTTTTCTGACAACACACTAGCAAGTTAATAACAGACCAGAACTTGAATCCTGGGCTTTTACACTGTTTCTGGGAATGCTTTTCACACTATACTATTAGTAACTTAAGGACCAACAGTTGGCCTAATGGCTATATCGCTGGACTCCCACATAGTCCACTGAGGTTCAAGTCCCGGACTCAGTGGCTTGAACTTACGCTAGGTGCATGTGCGTGTGTGCTCAAGATCCTGAGGAGAATGGAGAAGGGACTGCGGTGTGGCCATCCCCCTGGGGGGGTGATTTCTCGCTTTCTGTCTTTCTGTCTCTGTCTTTCTGGTGAGCACACATGCCCTATAGCAAAAACCTCTCCAAATAAAAAAAAGAACCTTCATTGCCCAAATATTTATATTGATTTACTCATCACTGAACACAGTGACTGGCATCACCCTCTACCCACCTGGCTTCACCATGCAGAATATAACTGTCATCCTTAACTCAGTTTTCTGTCGTCATCCGAACTGAACTGGTCAACAAAAGTGCTTCCAAAATCTCTGGGGCCGGGACCAGCAGATGGTGTAATATTACATTGCTGGACTCCCACATAGTCAAGGGCAGTTTGAGTCCTGGACCTGGCAGCTTAAAACTCATACCAGGCACGTTTGCATGTGCATGCCCAAAATCCTGACAGGAGAATGGAGGAGAAGGGACTGCAGCATGGCCATCCCTCCTTGGGGGGTGATTTCTCACTTTCTGTCTCTCTGGTGAGTACACATACCTTATAGCAAAAATCTCTCTTAAAAAAAAAAAAATCAAGGCCAGCAGGTAGTGTGGTGGATAAGGGCGCGGTATTCCCACATGGCTGACCATGGTTCAAGTCCCAGACCTGGTGGCTTGCTTTCTTGCTTTCCCTTTCTCTCTCTCTCTGGTGGTAATATCAAAAGATAACAATAACAAAGGGAATTAAATAAATAAATAATTATTTTAAAAAATATCTTCAGGCTAGGGCCAGCAGGTGGTGAGGTGGTTAATGCGCTGGACTCCCACATGGCTGAAAATAGTTCTAGTCCTGGACCTGGCAGCTTGTGTTCTCGCTTTCTCTCCCTCCTTCTCTCTCTCTCTCTGTCCCTCTCTGGTCAAGTTAGAAAATAATAATTAACAAATTAAATTAATTCTTTATCTTTAAAAGAATTAATTTAATTTGTTATTCTTATTTTAAAATTATTTATTTATTTATTAAAATTTGACCAGAGAAAGGACAGAATGAGAAAGGAAGAGAAAGTGAGAAAGCATGAAAGCAAGTTGCCAGGTTTGGGACACAAACTGCGGTCAGCCATGTAGGAGCCCAGTGCCCTTAACCACCATGTTACCTGCTGGCCCCAATAAGTCTTTTTTTTTTTTTTTTGGGAGGTTTTGACTTTAGGGCAC